AACAGTTTTTTTATATTAAAATATTTTATTTGGCAGAATCTCGTACCAATATTTGTTACAAGGATAAAAGAAACTGCCAAAAATCTTACAAATATTTGTAAAATAAGCAGATAATGCTATGCGAAGATTTTCCTCTCCTACGCAAAACAAAAAAAAAGAAATATATATTTATTTTACGAATACTTGTAAGATTCTGCCAAATAAAATATTTTAATATAAAAAAACTGTTTCATAAATTATTATACACTTTTCTCTTATTTTTCAGCTAATATTTTATTATTAAATGCAAATTGTCATATTTTTAATATATGTGAATTTATTTGTAAGTAATATACGTAAAATATATAAAATATATTACAATTTTTAAGAATTTTTAACAAATTTTACGTAGGCGACTAATGAACTCCCGTTTAACTGGTAACGAGTACGATACTGACGCTGCGTTCGACGCGCATGCGTCAGAAACGCGTCCCGTCCGGCATCACTGGCCGGTAGGTATCTGCTTGGTGGGAGTACAAGTGGTGGGGCTGGTTTCCGTGTTGCCAGCATAGTGGAAAGATGTAACGTGAGCTATTGCGCATAATGGCGGAAAAGAGTGAGGGATGATCAACAGAATGAGAGCCATATTAAGCGCGCGAATTTCAAACGCATATCAATAATCGGAAATGGACATATAAATGGAAACCTAATTGTCAGTGTTTTTTCGAACTTTTCAGTGTTTTTTTCCATAAGAGATAACAGTTTAACAGAGTATAACATAGTTTAACATAAATTAATATAATGCAAGTACAATATTGCAAATTTTTTTGGTATTTTTTTTAAAACATTGTCATTTTTTATTTTATTATTAATATGCCGCAGTTGGATGTACGATCTTGTTCTAACTAAACAGACAATGACTTCGGCAGGAAATTTGTCATTAATTTTTGTTGTACGATCTTGTTCTAACTAAACAGGCAATGACTTCGGCAGGAAATTTGTCATTAATTTTTGTATATACTTTCTTCGTAACTTTATCAAAAATGTTGTTTTCCATATTAAAAAAGGAAGTGCCATGGAAGGAAAGGAACTCAGCATTCATGACTCTTGCCGCTTCCATGAACTCGTCACTAGGATATAGACAATTTCCTCGGGATATGCAGGAAAGCCAATCATCACAAGGAGCAAGGATCTTTGTTGGAGTGCCTAAGTCCGGGTATTTATGTCGGAAACGGTGGGCTACGTAACCGGTTATATAAATGAGTGCTTGCTCTTCGACATCTTGTCCAGCTATATTTATTTCAAAATCTCTCAATAATTTCCATTCCATATTATTTGGAGAATACTGTTTTATCTGTACAACTAAAAAATATTTAAAAATACCAAAAAATATAAGTAAAAAGTAAAGTTATAATAATGAATGTAATTTATTTAATTACAACAATTTACAATTACAATTACAATTTACAATTTATTAAATAGTTATATAATAGTAAACTTATTTACTTATTTCATTTTGTAATATATGTAATAAACAATTATATACCGTTATGAAATTCCTCATCGTCCTCTTCATCTATACTATACGCATTTTTTTCTATATTATCATCTTCCGCGAATAATGCAGCTTCCACAGCTGAATCTTCGTTTTCAAGATCGTCCAAAATATAATGCTTGTAATATGTGACGAAATGGTCTTGTACATCCAATGTTGGGTCGAGTGGATTATTGTCGCATTCTGTATTTGATCTCACTGAAATGGCATGTGTGGAATGCTTCCCAAGAATATACCACTTCAATCGGTTTCTGAAGTCGGCTGGCGATGGGTGATCGTTTGTTGCTCCCATACCTCGTATATATGAGAAGAAATTTTCAAGAACGTCCTGACATAATTTTCTAGTTATTAAATAGTGCACTTGAAAATGTGTGCCAGTGTATTTCTCCTGCAGATAAGGGAGCAGCTGCTTTAGTGATTTGTTGTTTAGTAGTATTCCTTTTTGAAATGGCATCATGTCTTACCGACCACTCTCATTTTCGTAACGAATTCGGTCATTAAGTCCAAAGTTTTGTTCTGTTTATCGAGATCAATACCATATGCATGTGAACCAGCATGTTTTCCAAATTTACATTGACTATTATGGACATCAAACTAATCATTAATTAATTTAAAAATATTTGCCGTTGTCTGCCAATTTTCTTTCGAAAAGATTCCTTTTTTGCCGCAGTACTCAAGAGTCATCGCGTTACGGAACGAGAACATTTGGGCTGCCAATTTAACGCGTTGCCTTTGGAACCCTTTTACGTCGAGATGAGTTTTGGTTAAATTGAATGCAATTTTCAACTCATTACTATTTAAATGAACCAATTCTTCTAGAAGGCACTTATCAATTGTTTCACCATCTACGATGAAACCGTGATCTAAGAAATTGTTGCAGATTAATTTAAGAAGATGAGGAACATCCGCAAACATGAAAATTTTTAATGTATCATCAGATGGATGTGTTATGAAGCATTGCTTTTCTGTACAATCTTTTCCTTCGTTTTGTTTTGCATCACTTTTTCCAATTCCTATATTGAGCTTATTCCATAAAGAAACATTTGTAGAGCCCATATCACATGTTGTTGCTACTACTATGTAGCCAATATCATAAAGCGCTTGCATTATTTCAAAGAGAATGTCCTTGGTCATCGATGTGGAGTAATTATAATAAATGGGCTGTTTCCATTTATTAAAAAGACCTCGAGCCATTACTACTTGACATATTCTGTGTGGTCCGTAAATTTGTTGCTCGCGGCGTTCTAAATCTACTTTGTTTGACAAGTACACTTCGTCGAATGTTAGTACAGTTAATTTTTCATGAGTTAGTAAATTTTGTCCATTTAATTGCATTATATGCAAGACGTTGTAAATAATACCGGGCTTTACATTGAAGTCAGCAACCTACTTCTTTAGCGTTGCGATACAAGGTAGAGGAATTTTTTGTTCATTACGTAAGTAATTGTACGCTTTTGTACTTACGCTTCGAAGAGCAATAGCAGCTGTAATGTCTTCAATAGTCCATTTGATACGATTAGTATTTGGAGAGATAAGAATTTTGACTTGGCCAGGTGTGAAAACTTTATTGAGGATGTTAGTTGTATACTCATTTTGAGATTTTTCCATTTCTTGCTTCATGCATTCTATTATATTGCATTTGTCACGCAATGGACTTTTCAACTGCAAATTCTCTTCTTGCATTTCTATTATACGCGCCAGTAGCATGTCTATATTACAGGATTGGTAAAAAAAACGTTTTAAACGTGTTTTAAACAGTTTAAAACATGCTTAATTGATGTTTTTAATATGTTTTAAATATGTTTTTTTATAGTACTGTTCAAAGCATATTTGAAGCATTAAAAACATATTCAAGAAGAAACATAATGTTTTATTCTTAAAAAAAAAACATTAGTCTTTACCAACTCTGCTATATTACATGGATTTCTGTACAAGTTTTCGTCTGATTTAGATTCAGGTTCAGGTTTGGATACAGATCTGAAAACCACAAAACAATAGTACAATAGTACTATATAATACACTATATGTAT